TCTGGTATTTGCTAAACTGTATAAATGTTGTGAGCCAATGACTAGAATGTAAGCTTTTTGAAGTCAGGGATTGCTTTTAATCTTGTCTTTGACCAGCAACCAATCAATCAGCATTTATTAAGGACCTATCATGTGCTAGGTGCTGGGGATACAAAGACAGAAATGAAATAGTTCCTGCCCTCAAGGAGCTTACATTCTTTCGGAAGAACATAGTCAATCAGTGAGTAAGCACTTATTAAACATTTACCGTGTGCCAGGATTCATCGTGCATGTAGTAGGTTCTCAAATGCTTGTTGAAAGAGGTGGATTAGGGGCAGGTGGTGGTACAGTGGATAGAGCACTGGTCCTGGAGTCAGGAGAACCTGAGTTCAAATCTGGCCTCATACCAGACACTTGACACTTAGTAGCTGTATGACCCTGGGCAAGTCACTTAACCCCATTGCCTAGCCAAAAAAAAAAAAAAGGAGAGAGAGAGATGGATTGGTAGCCAGGGTTCACTCTCGTTGCTTTATACCCCTTTTACTGACAATGCAAATAGGCAGTGTGATGGATATATGCGGGTAAATGTTTTATAATTGGCTCCTTCCCACCCTGCCACCAGTGTGCTCACAACACACTTTTAAGGTTAATGTGCATTATTGACACCTCCCATAATTTTTTTGTATTGACAAGCAACAAAACAATAAACCAATCCCTGGCTTATAGTATTTGCCAGTTTCTAAAGTGTAAATGCTCACAATAAATCTTAACTGTCAGCTCTCCCATACAAGCTAGCTTCACCCCTGAGTAAGCCTATCTGATCAAAAGGTCACATGGATCTCTGGGAGATTCTCTGGTCTGTGCCAGCTAATAACAATCATTTCTTTTTTATTTTTTAAATTATATTTCATTTTTTTCAATTGCATATAAAGATGATTTTTAACATTCATTTTTAAGTAAGATTTTGAGTTCCAAATTTTCTCCCTTTCTTCCTCCCCACCCTTCTTCCAAAGACAGTAAACAATTTGATATAGGTTATATATGTGCAGTTATGTAAAACATATTTCTATATTAGTCATGTTGTAATAGGTTTAGAATTTGTGAACTGCTTCTGATCAACCAACTTATGAGTTAAAAGTGTTTTTTAACTCTAAGGCTCAATCCCCTAAAGTATGTTTTTTTCTTCTCTTGGGATGTTTGGATTGGTCTATTAATTGGCAATGTGAGCTCATTCAGGTGGAATTTGACCAAGAAAAAAAGTCTTTAGCTAGAGGTAAGAACCATGGAAGACCTCAGCACTGTTTCTGAGTATTGCCTCATGGTCATCCATGTCCCATAGCTTTATTCCACTAAAAATTGAGAATGAAACAGAAAGAATAATGCTAGTTCTGTACTATATGTCAGTTCTGGTATAGAAGACCTAATGTACTGAAATTTCCTTGTAAATTATAAACTTGGAATTTTTAATGCAATCTCATTATCAGTATGGCCAAAACACCCTGAGTCCTGAATGTATTTTAGCCACAAACCATGCAAGTCACAACATCCTTAATACCAGAGAAATGAGAAATACAAAGTGTGATTCTGCAACGCATTGGGTTTCTAATGGGATTAATGCTGGTTCAGAAACAGATTATTTTGTCAAGTTTTGCACTGAGCTCTGACTTCCTGAGGTTTGAGGACCTTCATTCCAGTACAGGCGAGCAACCAGGGAAGTCTTATTAACACATTCCTGTGGTTTCTTGGGCATCAATCCATTGCTTCAGAACCCCATTTAGGTGAGTTGACTATACATAAACTAGGAGCATATGGACCAAATCTTTCAAAATGTAGACATATGATGGGGATTTTTGGTGATTTTATAAAGGTTGCTGAAAGACAGCTTGAGATGTTTGCAAATATGGAATAACCACCAGGCTGGCCCATCCTGAGAAATGATGTAGTCAGTTGTTCTACAAACATTATGATATCTTCATATTATTCTGTGGTTAAGAGAGTAATTCATGTCATCACTATTCACAATATATAAGCGGTTAGAAATAAAGCTAAACACTTCAACATGGAATGGTGGAAGAGATTCCAGAGAAATAATGTTTTTCTAATCTAACTTTTCCCCCAAATGTCATAAAAGAATGCGTTTCTCTCTGCCGCCATGCCCAGAGTTTTCTTTGAGCTCAACACAAATGGCACTTGGGTCTCATATCTTTTTGTGTCTCTGAGTTATAAATCATACGGTATAATGATGCTCTTGCTAGGAAATTCATGGCATGGTTGTTTTGCTTTTATGACTATAGTTCCATATAAAGGCATATTAAAAATATTGATCCTCTACTCTGTTGCCTCATCACAACATGGAGTCGATCCAGGGTCCTTGAAAGCTCTGTTAATAGAATGTAAACTCTTTCTGGTCCTCCCAAGCTGTAAAATCTTTAAGTGTGGGTCTGATTAGGGACTGTGGGCCTCATTTGAAGATGAGACTCGCTGTATTTATAAAAGCCCACCATAAGAAGGTTGGCTACAAAGTGATAACATATATCATTATAAGCCATAGTAACCCATAAAATCATTTACTAAGGTATGGAGAGGCTGTGCCAGAGGAGGGAGTATGAATGCTAATGAAACCACAAAACCTTTGAAGTATTGAAATAACAATATCAATACTTTATCTAACTTGGGAACATTTCCAATAAAAGGCATCACAGTACAACATCTCAGCGTTGGAAAGGAACTGAGAGGTCATTTAGTCCAACTTACTTCATGATGAAAGAATTTCTTCTAGAACTTGAGACCATGTGGTACAGTGGTTAGTGTGCTGGACCTGGAGTTAGGAAGACCTTGAGTTCATAGCTTAACTCTGACACTTACAATCTACATGGCCATGGAAAATGTATACAACCTTCCTCACCTACAGAATAAGAATAATAATACCTATAGCACCAAGCTCAATAACCTCCTTGTGAAGATTAAATGAAATAATATACATAAGGTACTTTGGAAATTTGAAAGCAATATACAATGCAAATTATTATTAAATGTTCATTTAGCCTCTACTACAATACTTCCAGTGACAAGGAGCTCACTACCTTCCAGAACAGATAGTTCTATTTGCTGGAAGGTTATCCTTCAAAATTAGGTTAAAATTAATAATTTTCACCCATTGCCCTAATTCTCTCCTCTGAGTCTTCACAGAACCAAGAGATTAGACTAGAACTACCAATGAATTGTTCCATTAGTATAGAAATGTACTATGTACGATTTCTCTGTAATTATCATTCTATTAAATAAGTTTACTCATTTCTCTTCTATAAAGTTAGTAATCATAATAATAGCAAACATTTACACAGCGCTTGAAGATTTGCAACAAGCTTTGCACATATTATCTCATTTGATCCTCACAACACTGAGAGGTAAGAGGTATTATCATCCCCATTTTACAGTTTAGGAAACTGAGGTAGACAGCAGTTAAGTGGCTTGCCCAGGATTACATAGCTTGTATGAGTTTGAGTTCACATTTGAACTCAGGTCTTCCTGACCTTGGGACCAGGGCCCGTTGTGCTACCTAGCTCCTTCAAGATTGCTTAGAAATCTCATCTCATTGAGTAGCCATTAGACTTCATTATGTGCTCAATTTACTTCTGCTCCTCACAAATTGCCTTCAGTGCCTCCCTGAGGTGGAACGTGACATAATAATCATCTTTTGCAGTATAACCAACCTAGCAAATGCATATCATCAAAGTCTAAAAGCCATCCTGAGGGTTTCCTTCTCTGTGAGCTTTCCAGGTGATCAGGTGGCTTGGAAAGAACCTTGGAGACTAAGCAACATAGTATTTGACAATAAATCTCTGTTTAAACTTGGGCTGCCTAGTATTGAACTGGGGAATTTCATTTCATTTAAGCATTCAATGGAAGATGAGAAAAGTTTGCACCTATTTCATTCATCAAGGGGTATTCTAAAAACCAAGTTTCAATAGCAGATAATGGCAAAACAAAATTCAATCCTATATTTTATATCAGTAGAACTTTAAAAAAAAATAAGCCTGGCTTCAAGGGACAAGATTAACATCCTATTTTCCCAATGAGTGTTAGCTTTTACTCTATAACTAGAATACCAAGCAACTTGAAGGCAGGTACCATGTCTTAGACTTTTTGCCTAGTGCCTCCCCCATCCCATATTGCCAAGTGCAACGCTAAGCATATTGTATATCTTCAAATAAGTGCTGTTGGTTGATTGACTAATAAACTTTACTTCACCTATGCCCACTTATTTCATTATATCCACAAGTATGAGAGAAGAGAATGCTAGTGTCTCTTCACAAATCCCAAGATTCAAGACAGTTCTTAATGCCCTATCACATGGGCCTCAGTATAAACTAGGGAGGGCAAGAAGGAGAAGTAAGGAAAGGGAGTCAGGGAAGAGGAGAAGCTATTGAAATTTAAATTTATCAGATTGACACTGGAGGAAGGTAGTAGTACTTCACTTTCTAAAAGGATTACTTACTCTATGAAAGGAAAGCCTAATGGTATTTAAAATAGTAAAAGACCAGTTAAACCTAACTTTTCTGGAACACATTCTCCTATATGAAGAGTACAACACTTGTTTCTCCTCTGTTCTTTTCTTTTTTCCCCCTTGACTCCTGGTAATTTCTACCTACTAATACTTTAGGTGATAGAACACTGAGTCATAAGTAAGTCATCAAAGCTGCTCCTTGAACCCTGGTCTTCATGACTGATGTGGCCTCTCTATCAGCTATTCTATCTATCCTCTTGTAAATTGTAAAGATGATGAAAAAGCAACTGATATCATTCCATTCAGGTTTTAGTCAGTAACTATAGCTACCCTTTGATACATAAAGCAGCATGTGACTGGGTAAATCAATTACTCTCTGTCTGCCTCAGTTTCCTCAAATATAAAAATGGAGATAATACCTACCCTCGAGGGTTCTTGTGAGGAGCAAATGAGACAATATTTGTAATGTCTGGGTACACAGTAGGTTCTCAATAAATGCTTTTTCTTTTCTGCTCTTTATTTCACAAATTTAGTTGCAATAGCTATATAAAAATGACCTTTTAAACTACTGATTCCTACATCCATTTCCCCAGACATGTGACAGGGAAACAGGCTATTTATTTTCTTCTTCCCCTTCACATTTTAAATTCCTGTCTGTCTTCTTTTCCAAGTTTTCAATCCCCAGAAGACTATTTACTGCAAATTTACAAATCCTTAAGGAAATAAGTTCACAAGGCAAACACCAGCCATCTTCTTGAAAAGGCAACCACTATAAATTATTGGGTAGCAGGATTAAGCTCATTGACAAATTGGCACCTGGCAGTAGTCAACCATTCCTCTGGGTAGCTATAGAAATAGCATGAGGTTGCCATTTGGTTTGTGACCAGCTGGCTCCAGGTGTGTATCAGTATGGTTGATGGTTCAGGGCTTTCTGACTTTCCTGTTGTTGTCATGCAAGACCTGGGAGAGTCATGGCTTTGACAGTCCCTTCAGCTCCCCTTCCAAAGAATTTGGAGTATCTCGTGTTCTGGGCAGTCATATTTAGGCTGCACTTGATTTGGTTGGCTGGCTGGTAACTCGGCTTCATCCACTCTGATTTATTGTAGGTTCCTGATTTTTGTTTTTTATTTTGTTTGGTGGGAGAGACGACAGCCAGTGGGAGCCAACGATCATCTAAGGTAGGGCTGAGATTCCCGAATTGCAGGTTTCACCAGTACAAGCCAAGGAGGGGAAAAGAAAGGAAAAAGAAGAAAAAAGGAAAGAAAGGCAGTTTAGAATTAGAAGCTTTAGTCCTGGAAGGGGCCTTAAATATCATTCAGGGATTCTTATCCCTTTTTGTGTCATGGACATCTTGAGAGTTTGGTGAAGCCTATAGACTGCTTCTGAGAATAATTTTTTTAATGTATAATGTAAAACATATGGGCTCACAAAGAAATTAATTATGTTGAAATATAGTCATCTGTATCTATGCCTACATAAATATTTTTTAAATTCATAGACTCTAAAGGATCCCTGATCTAGGCCAATTTTTATCTATCTATCTATCTATCTATCTATCTATCTATCTATCTATCTATCTATCTATCTATCTATCATCTACCTGTCTATCTGTCTGTCTATGTGTCTTTCCATCTATCTATCTATATATCTAATTTTATTAGCAGCAGCTAGGCAGTACAGTGGATAGGGCACTGGGTCTGGAGTCAGGAAGTAATGAGTTCAAATGTGTCCTTAGATACTTACAAGTTGGATTATACAGGGGAAGTCATTTAACCTTTGTCTGCCTCAGCTTCCTTTACTGCAAAATAGGGATAATAATAATATCTACCTCCTAGGGTTGTTGTAAGAATCAAATGAGATACTATTTTATTATTTTTTTTAAACTCAAGATCTTTTCCTTTTTAAAAACATTTTTATTTACTTACTTATTTTTGGCAATTGGGGTTAAGTGACTTGCCCAGGGTCACACAGCTAGTAAGTGACAAGTATTTGGGCTGAGGCTGGATTTGAACTCAGGTCCTCCTGACTTCAGGGTCAGTGCTGGATCCATTGTGCCACCTAGCTGCCCCTAATATTTTCAAAACACTTAATATAGTGCCTGACACATATTAGGCACTTAATAGATTCTTGTTTCTTTCCTTCTATTTGACAGATGAGGAAACTGAGGCCTAGAAAGAATCGCTAACTTGAATAAAGTCACTTGGGTAGAAAATAAGAGAGCTTCCAATAAAACCTTGGTTACCTGCCAAATCTAGGACCTTTTTCACTACACCACATGGTGAATGAGGTCAAAAGTGCCAGGAGGTAAAGTAGGCCTGATAATTCATGGCATTCTCAATCCTTGTGATGTCTCCATTCAGAGGCCTATCCAACAGTCACAGGAGTCAATTATTTCTTTTGTAGTCAAGGCTGGCAATCTTAGACGAGCAGGAGGAAGCATGCCTTAAAATTCCTGAGGGCTTGTTCCCAGCTAGGGTAAGAAACCAACTCATCTGGTTCTGAAGAATCTGGGAAGTGGGAACGAAAATGTGTCAACAAAGTGAATATACACTGAACCCGCCTTTCACCCTCTTTCCTTAGGTATGGGTTCAGTTTAGGTGGCTGGGTTCGGGGCCAGGTCTGAGCTCCGCTCAGATGCCTTAACCTACTTGCTGCTGGTCATGGGGGAGGCCACTTTTCTTTTAGAGACCAAACTGGACCTGAATGAGATGAAAATTATAGGGCTCCGTGCCACAGAGTGAGTTGAGAGTTGTGTTTATTTTCAGATTTGGGCTTTAGGGTTGAGTTAAAAATGAACAAGACTTTAGTAGGTCAAAGTGACTCCTTTCTTGGGGCTCACAGTTAAAGAACTTCCTACCCAAGCATCCTCCCTGTGGCAGGCGAACTAATTACTAACCATCATGAGCTTGGTCCAATGGCTGATTTGAACCAAATGGGTGTAGCCATGTACCATGCTGGTGAATTGACAATGGTATCATGGAAGGTCACAAAGAAGGGACATCAGAAATCTGTTCTGTATTTGATCTGGGCAAGTCATGTCACTTCCTGATGCCCCCAGACAACTGTAAGTCTACTAGCTATAGAACAATTGTAGTTCTGAATTGAGAGAAGGAATTTTCTCACTGACAGTTCTGTAGACCAATGGGATCACAGTTTTGGATCAAAAAAAATTTATAATAGCTCACATTTATTTGATGTTTTGTAGTTCATTATGTAAATATTTCTTAAGTGTCTAATATGTAGAGAACACTGTGTTAGGTGCTAGGGAGATACAAAGTTAGATAAGATATATGCACTGCCCTCATAAAACTCAGTCTTAGAGAGGGAATGTGGCAAAAAACACAGATAACCATAATGTACCACATTACATGGATATTATGTGAGAAATTCACTAAACAGTTTGAAGATACAGTATTGTGTGAGATCTGATGACAAGGTCATTACTACCAATGGGAATCAGGGAAAGCTCTCTGGAAGAGGTAGCTTCTGAGCTGGCCTTTAAAATACAGGATAACATTCAAAGAGAAAAGAAGGTTATTATAGGCATAAGGTACAGTGTAAACAGTGCTGCTGAAATGGTTTATCCATGTCAAACCTAGCTATTGAGGAGGCCATTTCTTTAAATGCCTGGCACATATTAAGTGCTTAATGAATGTCATTTGGCTGGCTGGCTGATTTATTGACTGTCCAAGGTGGACCAAGTTAAGAAACAGTAAAACTTCATGTTGATTATGTGGGGTCAGGGAGCAGGGAGGTTAGCTGGGAGTGGGGAATGGGTCGGGGTGGGGGGGAGGAGAATGACGTACTTAAGAGACAAAGTATTGTCCAGTTTTTCTAGAGCGTGGAGTTCATGGGAGAGAATATTTGAAAAATGATCAGGAAAGAAATGGGATGGATAGATAGATAGATAAAGCATTTTTAAAGCATTTCCCCGTATTCCATTCCTATTCTTATGCTAAACACTAAGGATATTAATGCAAGCAAACTGAAAGACAGTCCTTGTCCTCAAGGAACTTACATTCTAATGAGGGAAGACAGCACACAAAAGAGAGATGAAAAGAGGCAGAGAAGCTACCTACACTGGGGCAAGGTCAAAAGGTGGTCTGGTGAGCCATGGACTGAGCCAGGTTTGTAGTGGGAAATTCCTCAAATTGAGATTCTGGGGAAGGACACACCAATCAGAGGAGAAAGGAATAGTAGAGGCACTGCCAGTTTGAGAAGGGCAAAGGTCAAGAAGTAGTTTGGGAAGCATGAGTTGAGTCAAGTTTGGAGATGGAGAGGTACCACAGAATGAAGAGCCATGAATGCTTTGTACTTTACTCAGAAGGGAAGTATTGAACACTTTTGATCAGAGAAGTGACATGGCCAAACATATTTTGGCAGAAGCATGGAAAATGGATGGGATAGGTGGGCTGTTGTCCTTCACTCTTGAAGAGGACCAAAATCACATCACTATGTTGAAGTCAAGGTACAGTACTGTGGCTGATTAGACCAATACAAAGGTTGCGCGCACATAATCCATAGCAACGTTTGGAGTAGAGTTTCTCTAAATTTGTGCATCTCACATTTCTTTTGAGCTACTGCATTTCTGCTTCACTGATCAAGCGCAGTGCCTTCTTCGACGTGGGCACGCCATGCTGGGTGGTCGTTTTCCAGTGTGTCCCATGCCATGCAATTGATTCCAAAGTTCTTCACAGAGAACTCGGAGAGTGTCCTTGTATCACTTCTTCTGACCTCTATGTGAGCATTTGCCTTGTGTGAGCACTCTATAAAATAGTCTTTTAGGCAAACATATGTTTGGCATTTGAACAGCATGGCTGGTCCATCAGAGCTGTGCTCTCTGCAGGAGAGTTTGAATGCTTGGAAATTTAGCTCAAGAAAGGACCTCAGTGTCTGGTACCTTATCTTACCAGATGATCTTCAGAATCTTCCTAACACTTCAAATGGAAGCAATTTCATTTCTTGGCATGGCTCTGGTATACTGTCCAGATTTCACAGGCATACAACAGTGAGATCAGCACAATGATTCTGTAGACCTTAAGTTTAGTAGGCAGTCTAATACTTCTTCTCTCTCACAGTTTCCTTTGGAACCTCTCAAACACTGAGCTAGCTCCGGCAATGCATATGCCAAACTCATCACCTATGCATACATCCCTGGAAAGTGTGCTGCCAAGGTAAATGAACTGATCCACAGTAGTCAAAATTTCTCCATTTGCTATAACCAATGATTCCACATGTAGATGTTGTGGTGCTGGCTGGTGGAGAAATTATTAGGCCAAAATTAACACAAGCAGCAGAGAATTGATCTATACTTTGCTGCATCTCAGCTTCTGAGGCTTCATTGAGTGCACAATCACCTGCAAACAAAAAATCATGCACCAACAATCCCTCCACTTTGGTCTTGGCTTGTAGCTTTTCAAAGTTAAATAATTTACCATCAATGAGGTAGCTGACCTTGGTGCTGTTTTCATCCTCATTGAAGACATATGACAATGTTGCTGAAAACATCATGCTAAAAAGCATAGGAGAGAAGATTCGGGGAAGATGGTAGACTAGGTCAGAAAACTTCACTCTCTTCATATTTCCTCCACCAAACAAAGAAACAAATAAATAAATAAAAGATAGAACATCACCTCAGAGTGAACTTAGAGCAGCAGAAATAAACAAAACTCAAGGTAGAGCAGTAGTCCTGTTAGGACAACTTAAGAAGACCCCAGGAGAGACTTGACCTCCAGGGTCAGAAGATACTAGACTGGTTTGCCATTTTCTTCTTCAGCTCATTTTACAGATAAAGAAACTGAGGCAAAGAGGGTTAAGTGACTTGCCCAGGGTCACGTAATTTATAAGTCTCTGAGGCCAGATTTGAACTCACTAAGAGCAGTCTTCCTGACTCCAGGCCTGGCACTCTATACACTGCACCACCTACCTGCCCTGTTATTAAGTATGCAGGTAGTCATAATTCCATTTTAAAGAAATCTTGAGGTTCTTGCATAACCTTGCATGATGATTAGAATCACGATTGTGGAACTGGAATTTCAGAGTTGAAATGTGGGCCAGTGACCATATTTGTTCAACTCTTACTTGAACAAGAAGCCTTTTTAGAATATGTCACTGAGCTCTTATCAGTTATGGCTCTGATGAATCAGAAAAAGGAGTTTGGCTAGTCATGTAAAGGACATGGGAAAGAAAATACATAGCCCATAGAGGTCAGTCTACATACTTCATTTTTTTTTTCAAATGAAGTGGTAGGTACTGGTTGTTTCATTGGTACTTGTAATCTGAGAGAAAGAGAGAGATTGAGACAGAGAGATTGAAAGAGACAGAGACAGAGAGAAGGAGAGAGAGAGAGAGAGAGAGAGAGAGAGAGAGAGAGAGAGAGGGAGAGAGAGAGATGGAGACAGAGCGAAAGAGAGACAGAGAGAGAGAATTTATTAAGTGGTTACTATATGCCAGAGAACCTACAGACCGGCCTAGAAAGAGGGAGTTTCCTCACTGGGAAGTCCCACACCAGTGAAAATATAGTCCCAGTTTCTAAGTATATCCTTTGAGACCTGGGCTCCAGCACTGGAGGGGAAGTTGAAGAGAATCAGTGGCTTTATATTCATGAGATAAGGTTGATGTGGTCTCCCTGGCCCCAGTGCCAGTTGCACCAGTCTTTTCCTGTTTTTATTTTTTCTTTTTTAAAGAGTTTGTTCAGCTGTGTTCTCCAGGCATTTCAGCAACTGCTGTCAGGGGAGAGAGTACTCTGTTGAAGCCATTTATGACGAGACTCTTTGTGCTGTATCCGTCCTAAGGCTGGAGAGGAATGCATTTATGGAATTCTTAAATCTTGCCAGAAGAGGAAGGTGAAAACAGGTAAATCAGTCATTTGGGAGAAGGCTGAGGGGAGGGAAAGTAGTCAGAGGGACCCAAAGTAAGAATCACAAGGTCACAAAATCACAGATTTAGAAGTGGAAAGGACCCTAGAGGTCACTGACTCCAACCTCTTCATTTTACAGAAAGGAAACTGAGACCCAGATAGGTTAAGTAAATTGCCAGAATCTCAGAGCTGGCAGGGACACAGGGAGAATTTGAACTCAAGTATTTCTCTCTCCAAATAGTAGCTGTTGGGTGAGGAGAGATGAGTTGAAGAACAGCACTGAATTATTTCTCTAAATCTGTGGTTTTCAAATTGTAGTCTGGGGACCCTCCATCATCCCTGAGACCCTTTCAGGGAGTCCACAAGGTCAAAACTATTTTCATAATAATACAGAGATGTCTTAATTGCTAATATGTTAAATATCAATAGAATTCACATAAAAAAAACTGTTTGGGTGGTTTTTATTAATTTTTAGGAGTTATATGAAGGGTGGCTTGAGACCAAAAAGTGAAAACTGTTGTTCTAAACCATAATGAAACAAACTAATATCGATCTAAGTGCACAAACATATGTAAGTGTAATATAATTGTCAGTTGATATTACTATACACATGTAGTATATATATACACATATTCATATGTACATATACTTTTATTTATAAGTATATACACATATATTTATATGTAGATATAGTAATATGTGCATTTATTTATAAGCATGCACATATGTATTTTAATGTAGATATACATATATGCACACATGCATAAACATATATATAATGTAGAGAGGGGTTTCCTTGACAAAGGTAGGAGAAGGGAAGAGTCTGGATTTCACAAGCAGTATGCTAAAGCTGACTACATCTTTACCATCACATATTTGACTACAAGATACAGAGAATATTAAATTTCATTATGCTAAATTTGCTGTCAAAAAGCATTTGATTCAACAGGGCAAAATACTTGGAAGAGAAATTAGAGATCCTTAGTCCAGTTGAGAGCACAAATCCAAGAGATTAAGTGACTTGACCATGGTCACATAAGCAAAAAGGGCTAGAGTTGAGATGTGACCCCAGATCCTCTTACTCTCAATTCAGTACTATTTCAACAATTGTACACATTTCTTATCTATTAAAGTATACTTTAATTTTTGTAAGATTCTTTTGGTGCTTTAGAGCACCAGGTCTGGAGTCAGGAAGATTCATCTTCATGAGTTCAAATCTGACCTCAGATATTTACTAGCTGTGTGAACCTGGGCAAGTCACTTAAACTTGTTTGCCTCAGTTTCCTAAAATAAGCTAGAGAAGGAAATGTCAAACCACTTCAGTATCTTTGCCAAGAAAGCCCCAAATGGAATCATGGAGAGTCAAACACGACTGAAAAAACAATTGAACAACATTACTTCTGATTCTCTTTGTGAATGAAGTATTCAAAACACATGGGTGTGAGGCTTCAGAGTAGCTCTTAAATCTTTTTATACTCTTTCAGGAAGCTTGGTATAGTGGAAAGATCAGTGGAACTAGAGTAAGAAGAGTCCTGGGTTCAAATCCTACCTCTGACATTTGCAAATTTGTGCTTAATACGACACCACACCAACTCTACTCTTCTGTAGTAGAGTTTCTTAATTGGAGATCAATGGGTAGAATTCATGGTTTCTGTCAACTTGAATGGAAAAGAAAATCATACTTTATTTTCACTTAACTCTAATGGAAATTAAGCACATCCTTTAATTATGATGAAACAAACAAATGAACAAAACCATTATTCTGAGAAGGCTCAATAGATTAACAAGTATTTATTAAGTGCTTGCTATATGTCAGGGGCCGTGCTTCACTGTAGGCTTCCCCGGACTGCCAAAGGGGTCAAGACACTCAGAAAAGCCTAAGATCCCCTGCACTACAGGAATCCTCTAGTCCAGCCAAACTGGTCCATGAATGAGCCCTCAAATAGAAATGCACACTCCCACCTTTGTTTTCTCATTATTTTTGTCATATTTATCTTTGTAGCCATAGCAACTAGCTCAGTACTTGATGCATACTGAACCTGACAGATTTTTGTTGAATCAGGCTGACTGAATGGATGGGTCCTGTTTTTCTTGTTTGTTTTTTCCTTCTACTTTTCTCTATGCCAGTGCAAATTCTACCCATTCTTCAAGATTTAGTGCAATTCAAACAATGCTGATGCAACCAAGATTAGAAAGAAAGCAGAAAGCTGGGAAACAATTTTTACAGCCAGCATCTCTGATAAAGGCCTCATTTCTAAACTATGCAGAGAACTGAATCAAGTTTGTAAGAATACAAGTCATTCTCCAATTGATAAATGGTCAAAGGATATGAACAGACAATTTTCAGAGGAAGAAATTAAAGCTATCTATAGTCATATGAAAAAATGCTCTCAATCACTATTGATTAGAGAAATGGAAATCAAACGGCTCTGAGGTACCACATCACACCTATCAGATTGGCTAATATGACAAAATAAGGAAATGATAAGTGTTGGGGAAAATGTGGGAAAATTGGAAGACTAATGCACTGTTGGTGGAGTTGCGAACTGATCCAACCATTCTGGAGAACAATTTGGAACTATGCCCAAATGGGCTATAAAATTATGCATACCCTTTGGCCCAGCAATACCACTTCTAGGTCTGTATCCCAAAGAGATCATAAAAATGGGAAAATGATCCTCATGTACAGAAATATTCATAGCAACTCTTTTTGAGGTGGCAAAGAATTGGAAATTGAAGGGATGTTTATCAATTGGGGAATGGCTGAACAAGTTGTGGTATATGAATGTAATGGAATACTATTGTGTTATAGGAAATGATGAGCAGGAGGACGTCAGAAAAACCTAGAAAAACTGATTCTGAGTGAAATGAGCAGAACCAGAAGAACATTGTACACAGGAATGGCCACATTGTATAATGAATGACTTTGAGAGACTTGGCTCTTCTCAGCAATGCAAGGATCTAAGACAACTCCAAAAGGCTCTTGATGGAAAATGCTATCCACATCCAGAGAAAGAACTTTGGAGTCTGAATGCAGATCAAAGCATGCTATTTGCTCTTCTTTTCTTTTGTTGTTTTGTTTTGTTTCTTCTTTCTCGTGGTTCTTCCCATTAGTTCTAATTCTTCTTTACATCATGACTAATGTGAAAATATGTTTAATATAACTACAACCTGTATCAGATTGCATACTGTCTTGGGGAGGGGGAAGAGAAGGAGGGGGAGAAAATTTAAAACTCAAAATCTTATGGAAGTGAGTGTTGAAAACTAAAAATAAATAAAATTTTTTTAAAAAGGGAAAACAAACACAAAAATGATTTAGTGCAATTCCTACCCATTACAAAGTATCCCTGGCTCATCTGGAGCCTATATTATAGCATAAGATTCTGGCCCTTTCTCTTTATTCTTATTGTACTTATCTTTTTTTTTTTACTAGTGTTGCCAGAATCATATGACATAATTTTTTTTTTAGTACTCATGTGGATGAATGAATGAATGAATGAATGAATGAAAACATGAAAAGGCATTTATTAAGTGCTACTTAATGACAAATAATGTGCTAAGCTCTTGAGATACAAATACAAAAGCAAATAGTACAGAATATTTCCATAGGTGAAGAAAGGACACAATAAAAGAATGATAAGTGGGGCTGAAATTCAATCAAGGAAGGATTCCCAAAGTGGTGAGCTTTGAGGAACCTCTTAAAGAATGTAATGGACATAGCCTGATGGAGTAAAGAGAAGGAAGGGCATTCCCTTGAAGGGAAGAAGCAAAAAGAGCCATTGGTAGAGTGTTCTTCACTTTTATCAGTTCTTCTGACGGGTGAAACATTGATTTTTACAAGCCTATTCTATATACTTTAGCTGATATGTTAAGTAAAGAGAAAAGGCTGGATTTTTACATGATAGCAGAATGTAGAGAACTGGGCTAGAGGTCAGACATTATAAGATTGAGACCAGGCTCTAACAGTAACTAGCTCTGTGGCTGTGGGAGATTGTGACTTCTATATGTGTGATTATACACACACACACATGTATGTATGCATGCGTACATGTACACATCATACACATATACATATATTTCCACACACACATGCACATATACATATCTACATCTCTATTTATTTGTTGTTCATTTGTTTCAGTTGTGTCCAACTCTTCATGACCTCATTTGGGGTTTTCTTGGCAGAGATCTGGAATGGTTTGCCATTTCTCTCTCCAGCTCATGAGAAAACTGAGGCAAACAGGGTTAACTGACTTGTCCAGAGTCACACAGCCAGTAAGTTTCTGAGGCCAGATTTGGACTCACAAAGGTGGACTCTTCCTGACTTCTGGCCGGGCACTCAATCCACTGTGCCACCTAGCTGCATATACACACACACATACAAAAATATATAATACACAGATGTTATACACATTACAACACACACATGTGTGTGTGTATATACACACACACACACCTATATTATAGATAACATATCCCCTATATATGTATATGTGTGTATATATGTATGAGTATATGTATATATGTGTGTGTGTGGGTGGGTCTGAAGGATTTTGGTTAATAGGATAGTATAGTACGGTAAGTAAGAACTGGCATCACAAAGACCTAGTTTCAAGACCCACCTCTGATGTATCAGCTATATGGCCCTGGGCAAATCATACGACCTCTCAGTCTCTTAGCAACTCTCTATGACTATAAACTGCAGAAAATGTATTCATTTATATTAAGAGAAACTCCTCAATGATAGCTTCTAATACTGATGAAATCATAGACCCAATAAAAACTGAACAAGAAAATAAATAAATATACTTTAGTATACTCTAGTTATTCTTGCTAACCAGGTGTTGATCTCAGTTGTTTTTATAACTGCATTGTATATGTGTGTGTGTGCGTGTGTATGCATACATGCACATATACGGATTATTATATTTGGATTTTATCACAGTATAATATATATGTCTATATTATATTTTATAATAGATACATACATACATTATAATAACATAAATATTATGTATATGCATGCGTATGTTTTTCTTTTCCACAAATACAAAAGCACACTTTTGCTGATGCAATTTCAACATGCAAGAAACGCTCTCATGTTTCAGGGCCAGACCCAGAGCTGGTGTGTGGGCAAGGGTCTGTATGTACGTGGGGTTAGATGCTTGTTCTGTGTTCTCTTGTTCCTTTTTTCCTGCAAGGTCAGCTAAATTCTCAGCTGACAGTGCCAGTCAAGTAGCTTGAATTCTTTACTACCTACTTCCTCCTGTGCAATAATATTTGGGTCACTTTCCAGGACCTTTTCAAGATCCCAGCTGATGATACTATTTTCAAGCCCTTTGCCCTTGCTATTTTGCACAGAGAAAAAGGGCCCACAGATCATCAGGGAAGAGAAATGAAGATGCATGATGGTGGCAGGAGAGCTCTGAAATCCATATGCTCAAACGAAGTTGCTTCTAAATGTGTGTTATGTGTTCTGAGATCCATCCTCCTTGCTCTTGTTACAATTGGCACCTGGAACTGTCTAGCTGACTAAAAGAGGGGTAGGTAGAAGAAACTACTCCTATATCTCGCTAAAATGTGTAGCAATGCTCCCCAAGAGAGATGCAGAATTTAGGCATAGATTGTCCATCGCCAAATGTAGTAGCAGCATTTTGATTCAGAGATATATATATCTTAGGAGTCAAGTAGATTGTAGCAAGGAGGCAGCTTTAAGGTCTTTTTTCCAAACTGGTTCCTTCCATTGGTATAGATTTCAGGTACTGAAGGTACTCTTGAAGGCTGAATTGAAGGAAGGCTTTGGATCTACTGGGGTAGGAGTGCAGGTGACTGAAAGCATGTGACCTATTTGACCACAAGTAGTAAATAGAGCTTGTGGAGGTTGGCTCTTGACCCCTCTTTTTCTCTCTTTCTTCCTTTTAGCTGTCAGAGTGAACAGTCATATATGGGTCCTGCTCCTATCTTCCCTTTCTCTAACACAAGGATATCAGGAACCTTGTGTCTTTCCTGCTCTAGCCTTTTTCTTTTCCCTAGAGTTGAGCTAAGGAGCAAAGGCTTCTCTTAATTTATTTCTTTAATCTTCTAGCTGGAAACTAAAAATAAGGTTGCTTCTAGGTTCTGCTCCAACCTTTCTCAACTTACACGAGAAGGGAAGGGAAGGGAAAGGAGGGAAAAGGAGAAGAGAGAGGAAGGGGAAAAAAGGGAAGGGAAGGGAAGGAAAAGGGGAGAGGGAAGGGAACAGGGGAAACAATTTGACTTCTTTCCTTTACTTGCCCTTGGGTGGGGTATATTGGGAACAACACCAATAAGTTGATTCCTCAGGTGTTCTTTTCCCTCCTTTCTTTGGGATTGATCAGAGGATTGGAGGTGTAACTCCCATCTCCTTATGTTCCCTGTCTCCTCTCCTCTGCTCTCTTATTCTCTCCTCTTTTTTTCCCTCTCCTCTCCTCATGTTTCCTCTTCTCTCCTCATATTTCTTCTCCTCTGCCAAGTTCTGGGAAGCCCACATGACTACATGTCCAGGTATAACTAAGTGGCACTAGGAGAGAAAATCCATTATAATCTCATTTATAGGAATAATTGCATATATTATATCTGAAGGATTATAGTTAACAGTATTCTCTTCATTATGTATTTAAAGATGTGTATGTTCACTTATATTCTGATAATTTATATATCCTTGACAGTAGATTAACTACTGATTTAGGAATTGCTGAACAGTCAATGTGGTTTTCATGGTACCCATTATTAATTCAAATTTCACTTTTTCTAGACCAAAATCATACAGTTATTTTATGGGTTTCAGATTTACAGGTGTGCTATGATTAAAATTTCCCAGGAGTACCTTAACAGATTTTTTGGTATGCAATAGACTCAATATCTAGCAGAAGATGGGATTTTCGTCCTCTTTGATCAGCCTTGGATAGAGATGAAGGTGAGGTACCCAGAGGGTTGTTGGCTACCAGTGGACTTGTGCACTTGCCTCCACCAGCTTTCATTTTCTGTGAAAGGATAAGGCATATCTCAACGTGGAGATCAGAGAAGAGAAAAAGGGAATCTATCCCACTCCCTCCATGCCCCTATTTAGACAGTACCTGGTTAGATGACTGAGTGCTATTTCTTTGGGTCAGAGCTCTGAGTCTGGGTTCATGTGGTGGGGAGAAGGGTTTTAATTGACTAGTAGCCAGTCTACACCCAATCTGGGCAGAAGAAGATCCTTGAGTCTCAGTTAATTCACAGTCCACAAAACCAGCTGATAAAAAGAAACCATGAGGTCAGGGATTAGATAATAATTATATGATCATAGATTAGAGCTAGAAGGGAACTCAGTGGTTTTCTAGTCCAGCTCCTTCATTTTACAGATGAAGACAAGCAGGTTTAGAGAAGATAATGACTGACCCAACATCACATAAGCAGTGAATAAGCCAGGATTTGAACTAAGGCATCTTGGCTCTCAACCATTGAAGATTCCCTATACAATACTGTCTCATTATTACCTCTATATTTTCCGCAGGGCTTAGCCTGTTGCAAACAGCAGATAATTAATAGATAGTTATTGAATGGACAAAAATCTTTATGTTTCTTTTATATTAATTGAAGGGTATAGAGTGAAGGTGAGGGAGGTTTTTTTTTTTAACTAAATTTTACTGAAGGCTGAGGCAGGTATAAGTGGAAAAGGGAAGGTTTTGTCAGGTGTGCTTCAGAATGGCTTTCCTTCTAATATCTGCTAAGAGGCAGTTTGGTGGGTGGTGTATTGAATATAATGATGGATTTGGGGTCAGGAAGAGCTGAGTTTAAATACTGACCCATTGGCCAAGTGTCCCTGGACAAGTCACTTAATGTCTCTTAGCTTGTTTCTTCCTTTATAAAATGAGATGATAATAATAGAATCTACCTTACAGCCTTGTTGTTGAACTGGAACACAAACATGTACACACATGTGTGTGTACATACACATGCACATATACATACATGTGTATGCATAACCACGTGTATATAGAAATCAACACTATATATATAATATACACATATGTGTATATATAATACACATAAAAATAAGTATATGTATATATGTGTGTGTACTATATATATTGTATGTACAATGTATATACAATATAATACTATAATAATGAGGTATATTTATGACATATACATACACACAGACATATATTTGTATATATAGCAATTTGAAAACCTCAAAACACTATATAAATATTATTATTATTATTATTATTATTATTATTATTATTATTATTATTATTATTGAGAGGTAGCATGACATAGTAAATAAAGAGCTGGTTTCAGAGTCAGGAAGTATGGGTTCAAAGTGCTGCCTCTGCCACATTCTCTCTATGCACCTCTGGGTGAATCATCTCACCTCCCTGTGCCCTGTGCAGCTTTCTAAGGTGAAATGTTTCCAAAAAGTTGCTGACCTGCCTTGGTTAAGGGAGTTTCCTCTTCTAAGAATTACCTATACTGATAAAAATCACCATTCTAGCCTTTATTCCTATTATTATCATTCTCAACATCATTAGTAATATAGAGAGGCTTGTTCGAGGTGGTCTTTTGGGTACATTCTCTGGCATCCCAGTGACAGTACCTTGAACAAATGGGGTACAAGGAAATGACCTGTGACAGGTGGCAGAGGTGAGCAGGAGTTGATTCTACTTGAAGATGACAAAGTGAGATGTTTACTACAGTCAGAAAAAAAACAGACTGGGCACTGAGTACCCACACAATTTCTCTCTATTTCTTTGTCATCTATCCTCTCTTTCCCTCATGGCTGTCTCCCCATTCAAGTTGGTTTTATTTATGAGCATTTCACTCTTAAAAAAATGCCATTCATCTTTATTAGCTTTTGGAAGGGAGACAGTAGCAATAGACCTTAAATTTAGCAGCACTGGACAAGAATAGAAATGTCCTAATCCTGTCTCCTCCTACGGAATGTGAGTTGTGGTCAGAGTAATATGTTTTTGCCTCCTGTGATTTAGATCAAATTTCATGGGCCAGACAGGGCGTAGGGAGCCAGGGCTGGAGCAGCCACTCTCCTTGGTAAACAGGGTCACACCTCTCTTGGATGCTCTGTGGGTGCTGGCTGTACAGAAGCTTTGCTATGGCTCCTCTGTTCTCCTTGCTCCCTTACCTAGTACTCATGGGGTTTTTAAGACTACTATTATTAGAAGTAGTTGATGTGGTAACTCCAGGTACTCCAATTGCATAGGTGTATATCTCAAAGAAGCCGTTTCAGAGGCAATGACTCTCTGAACTGAGTTGGATAATCATTTCAAGCCCCCTCCTTATCCACAGGAAATTGTGCTTATCATTCCTAGAGCTGTTACAGTGAAAGTTGAGTGGACCCATGGAAGCAGTGATGAACTCCAGATCCAAATAGCAACCTAGGGTCATAACCATGATGCCAGACCATTATGCAGAGACACTGTTATTGTCTAATGAAAAGTGCAAAAAGTTTTAATTTAGAACTGGCCTGTATCTTAAAGGTTATCTAGTCTAACTATCTTATCTTTACAGATGAGGAAACTGAGGAACAGAGAGATTAACTGACTTGCCCAAGGTCACATAGGTAGTAAAGATTTAAGAGATTTGAAGCCAGGTCCTCTGATTTTAAATCTATTGATCTTTCTACTATACCTTGCCACCCATCAAATGCCCATCTGCCTTCTGATCCAGCCCTAATCTCAACACTGATACAGCATGGGATTTTTGAAAGAATACAGGTTCTAGAGTCAGAGGGCCTGCATTCAGGTCTTAGCTTTTCTGCTGAATGCCTGTATGATTTTGGGCAAGTCGTTTAATTATTATCCATTTATGTTACACAATCTCAACTCATTACTCACTGCAGCAAAGAAATCTTTTTAAACCTCCCTAATCTATTCGCTATCCTCTCACCACAGTGGCCTTTCATCTTTCCTTAGACCTCCCATGACTCCCCTTTCCCTCTTCCTCTCAGCTGGGAATCTTGCTTCATTTTTCAATAATAAAAGTGAATCCATTTGCAAAGACCTCTCTCTTATCCCTTTCTCATCTCACATCACTGGGATTCCTTCTATCGCTATCTCCTCCTTCAACCCTGTCTCACATGAATGGTTCCTCTTATTGCCACAGCTACCCTCTTTACATGCACAAGTGACCCCATTCCATCCTACCTTTTTCAGCAGATTGTCTCCACTATCATCCCTACTCTATTTCTAATCTTCAATTTCTCCCTCTCTACTGGTTATTTCCCTCCTGCTTACAAACTCACATATGTCCCCACCATCCTCAAAAAAAAAACCCTCACCCTGGCTAGTTACCATTCCATATCTCTCCACTTTTTGTGGCCAAATTCTTTAAAAAAGCCATCTAAAATAAGTGCCCCCACTTATCCTCTCACTCTTTCCTTAATTCTCTGCATTCTGGCTTTAAAACTTATTTTTCAACTGAAGTTTCTCTCTCCAAAGTCACCAATGATATCTTAATTATCAAATCTAATGTCTTTTTCTTCATCCTCATCCTTCTTGACCTCTTTATAGGCTCTGATGTTATCAATCACTCTCTTTTCCTTGTTACTCTCTTTTCTCTTTTTTTTTTTTTTGGAGGGAGTGGGGAGACATAACTCTCTCCTGGTTCTTCTTCTATCTACCTTACCACTCCTTCTCAAACTCTTACTGGATCTTTATCCAGGTCATACCTGGTAACAGTGGATATCCTCCAGGGGTCTGCCCTGGGCCCTCTTCCCTTCTGTTTTCCCTCTATACTATTTTACATGGTGATCTCATTAGCTCTCATGGATTCACTTATCAACTCTATGTTGATTCCTAGATCCACTTATCCAGTCCTAACCTCTCTCCCTACCTCTAGTCTCACATCTCCTGCTGTCTATTGGATATCCTAAACTAGATGTCCCATAGACATCTAAAACTCAACATGCTCAAAATTGAGCTTATTATCTTTGCCCCTAAGCCCTCCCTTCTTCCTAATTTTCCTATTTCTTTGAAGGACACCACCATCTTTTCAGTCACCTGGGCCCACAAGCTAGGTACCATTTTTGACCTTCCCACCTTCTACAGAAAATCTTTCCTGATTCTCCTTAATACTAGTGCCTTCCTTCTGTTGATTGTCTCCAATTTATACTGTATATGTCTTATTGTATGTAGTTATTTGCATATTGTAAGATTGTAAACTCAACTGAGAACAAGGATGTATTCTCTCTCTCCGTATATCTATATACATGTGCACACACACACGTATACACATATACATATATGTGTGTATGTACATATATATGTATATATGATATTCATTTTCCTTACATCTCCAGTGCTTGTTACACTGTAGGTGCTTAATAATTGACTGACAATCTCCCTGAATTTGTTGTCTTATCTGTTAAAAAAGCAAGAGTTGGCGATTGGACTAGGCGGCCTCTGTGATCCCTTCTTGAGGTGTCTGATCCTATGAAATCACACAGCTGTTAATTCCTTCCTTGGATATTTCATAGCTCACCAATCAGAGATGCAGAGCTTAAAAAGCTATTTCACCCCCACCCCTCATGTCAGATGTTATGGGGTCTACTTCCCCTCTCCCCACTTTAGAAATGAGGAACTGGGGTACAGGGTCACAGTAGAAAAGCTGGGATTTGAACCCAAATCCTCTCTAAATGTATTGTTTGCTCCTCTGTGTCATGCTGCTGCCTGTTGTCCAAGACCCTTGTTTTTCTATGGACTTCTATCCCTATCTAGTTCTCCCATCATCAATTCAACAAGTATTTATTAAGGACAACATGTATGTGTGAGGCAACGTATTAGGCCTTGGGTTTATTTGTCTGTTTGTTTGGATCAGAAGGTGATTTCATGAATATGGGGAACTTCTCAGAAAGAAACACTCTGCAGGTCAGCACCATTCTGATATTTATAGTCTTAGACAGTTGCTAGAGGAACTTCGAGTTTAAGTGAACAATGACACATGGCCGAGACAGACCACAGGCAGGACTTGACTCCAGGTCATCCCCTCACCTGGTCTTGCCCAGTTTGCTCAATTCCTAGCCGTCTCCATTCCAGCTGTTTGCATTCTAGCCTCTCCCTCCATCCTAAACTGAAAGTTCCACTTTGATCCAAAGTTCTGATTGATAGGCATTCCCCTAGTCTAAGGGTCAGCACATTCCAGTCCCTTCCCAGCCATTTCCATGCTCATGCCTCTACTCCCTCTCCCTCCCATTCCCACCCTCAGCAATCCCCTTCCAACTGTAGCTCTTAGAAT